GCGATTTCTTTGGCTTATTTTGAATTTATGCTTGAGGGCAAGCATGATCTAGGTGTGGAGAGAATTGATAGTTAGAAATCGCATGCGTTTTATATTCATATCACATGCGATATTTGGATGATTTTGATTGGATTCTACCTAATTTATATGCGAATTGTTTATTTGCTGTGTGCAGAGGACAAATATTAAATTTAGCATAATTGGCAGAAAAAGGAAATAAAATTAATTAAAGGCCCAAAAGCCCATCTACAAAATAATTAGGGCAAAAATCAAATAAAAAAAAAAGAAAGACACGCCATTTTTGGGGAGGAGAGAACGGCTAGGCAAGAAACGCACAGGAGTAGGAGACTGACAGATTCATAGACCGTACAGGAGCAAATCGACAGAGAAGATTTACCCCTCCCACTATGACTTTATCCTTCTCTTTTGCTCTTTTTTATTTGATTATGGAGTATATACTTTTCTGGTTTGAGGGGTGATAATATTTTTGTTCTTTTGTTTTGGAAATTCTTGATTTTCTTTATAAAAGTTCTTTTTGATTATCAATATTTGTTTAATTCTGAGAATAGCGTTTGTGATTGTTAGATTGATTGAATATTTTGGTATCGATATTTAAATTAGTCTGATAATCTAAAGTCAATTCAGGTAGGATATCCGTAATTGTATTCGCACTTGAATAGGGTTAGACAATCAAATCTAATTGCTTCTCTTAGGTAGTAATTTTTTTGAATTGGGTTTTTCTAGATTGGAATGCGGTTAGGCAATATTCTTATGGGCGCACCTAGGTTTATTTGCTTAATTAAGGGTAGTTAACGGTCGTACCTTAATTACCTACATTGTAAGGAAAAATTGGTTGTCAGAGCTTGTTGATAACTATAACCAATTTATTGATATTTAAATAAGAATTAACTTTATTGAATTAATGATAAAACACAAGTGTCATAACTGCATCATCCCTTGAGCCAGACATCCTCTTGATAGTCAGTTTCCTTTTAATTTAATTGCTTTGTTATTTTATTTTCATTAGATAATAAAAGAAAAATCCCCCTTTATTTACTGCATTAGAATACGAAAGAGTGAATCACACAATCCCTGTGGAGACTATCCCTTCCCCTGTATTACATTAAATTGTGATCACGGATTAGGTGAAATATTTGATTGACTGCGCGATAGGTCATTGCTATTTGAACTAAACTAAAATACAATTACGGACGTCTAATTCAGTTTAGCAGTTAATCCTTATATTAATTGAAATACTTGGTCAAAATACACAAGTAAATTTAATATTATAAAACAAAGAAATTAGAAATTACAGAAATACTTTGAAACCAAATAAATATCATAAATAAAAATGAGTTTAATCTCATAAATTCATACAAAGTTACTTTTCACTCCCAAAGTAGAAAGAAAGATCTACTCGCTAATCATATGAAAGGAAAAAATAACAAAAAAGGTACATATCGCCTAAGAATGTTCGATCAACCGGGGTAGAACTCAAAATTTGTCTAAATCTTTCTTCTTCTTGCCTTCTACGCCTTGTGATCTTTCTCCCGAACTGTTTTGCACTTGATTTTCTTGTTCTCTCTTCTTTTTCTCTAAAAGTGGCGCCTCCCGCTTCTTTTATATCCTCAAAAAATTAATATTTTCCTTTTGCAAGCTTTATCCATATCTTCATAACATTTTTTTTTTTAATTTTTCCATATTCTCACTTTTTCCCCAATAATTAAGTTGCAATATTTTCCTAATTTTACATTTTTTTCCTCTTTTAAAATATTTTGTACTTGACACCAAAAATAGAATTTTAAGTAGAATGTATTATCGAAAAAATATTAAAATCCAAAAATATATATGCATAAATTTTACTAAAATGTGTCTATCAATTTGAAATTGAGTTTCCACAAGTTTGATAAAGATAGATAATATAATCACAACTTGTGATTTCATCTTCATTAGATATGTCCATGTAGACCTACTATAATCATCCACAATTGCTAAAAATACTCCCCCTTATGTAAAAATATGCTCATTTGGTTTAGGCATGACTTATAATATAATGTGTACATTTTACCATTTATAGTAAGAAAAGTAAAAAATGATTAAAAAGGGTAAAAGGTAATACAAGTTTTCTAGAATAGGAAATAAATATATTTTTATAACAAAAAAATAAGAAACGTGATATTTATGACAGATGAAGTACTTGCTTCCATTAAATTATGTCAAATTATAGGACCCCATGTGTCTATATAAATTAAGTAAAAACAAGAAGAAGCATAAGATGTACTTTTATTAAAAGAAAGTCTCATTTGCTTTCCATAATAACGGGCATCACAAGGAGTAATAAAAAAGTCGATTTTAATTAAGTGCTATAACACCTTATTAGAAGGCTGACCAAGCCTCGAGTACTATGATAATTCTTTCTTGGCAATCTCAATTTTACTTTTCTGGTCCTGAGTAGAGCAAGAGTTAGTTTTCAAGCGTTTGACTCAACCTTCCTTAAGAAAATTAAGTTCTCTGTTTTTCTCTCTATGATAAGATATGAAAAAGTAATTGTGCAGCCTCCAGACTTGGATTACAATTCTAATATATTGTCTCTTTTTATTAGTTTGCCTCATCACATAATTAATAATTCAATGAGTTTTTGCGGCCAACACTTATTAATTGTATTTTAAGTCCAATAAATTAAATATATCACTTTTAAGTCTGCATTTACCCATTTTGTATCAACAATTGTAAGTCTTATTTCTCATCATCCCATTGTCATAATCAACAATACAAGCTTTGAATTTTGCATCTAGTCTTGTCTCTATTTTTTTGCTTTCCTTTGGCCTTCAATCTGGTATTAGAGTCTTGAAGATTTCGATGTCTATGAGAGATGGTGGCCGGAACAGTGAAGAAAAATGGTCTAGGATGAAGGTCCATCTCGCCAGAAAGTCCTCGTCATGGTTGTACTATTGGTCATGATATGGGTACCAAAAAATGGTGTGAGAAGTCAGAAAAGTGTCCTATTCAATGCTCGAATACAACAACTACACCGATTGATCATTTATGATGAAGATGATGCTCCAAATAAGGTGGTTGCAGGATGCCATCGAGTATGGGGATGCCAGTATATAAGAAGATCATGTATCATTGAAGAAGATCATCAAGGCAACACTGAATGAGATGTTGCACGTGATCACCCATAAGGAAACGGCCTAATAGGCATAGAATTATATCAAGTACGTGCAAGTTAGATCCGAGCACGTTTATCAGGTGAAATTGTAGAAACTGCATGCCAAATTTGAGGCGATCAAATTCAAGGAAAACAAAGATCCATAAAATTTTGTACTTCACTTGAGACATTGAGTTGATAATCTTGTTGAGTATGGTGAGCCCATCAACAAACAGAAGGTTGTTGAGAAGTACTCATGTGTCGCTCCGCCTAGGTTTGACCATGTCATCTACATCATGGAGACCATGCTTGACCACTCCACCTTGTCCATTGAGGAAGTCACTGGCCATCTAAAATATTGTCATGATCAATTTCTCTTACATTTGTTGATACCAACTATAACAATAGAACTTAAGCTTTTACTAATTAAAAAGAAATGGTTGGCTCGCTACAAGAAAAAAAGAAGCAGCAAATAGACATCAAACAATAATGGCGGTTGTATTTGATGTAGCGTAAGAGATGGCCGAGGGTTGCTACTCACTCAACATACGTCGTATTGTCCGGAATGGGTTAAAATCCGGCCTTGTCTGAGCGCCAAAGTGTTGAAGGGTTTTGCAGTCAATAGAGGGGTGTCACCGCCTCCGATGAGGACACGCCGGAGTTCATCCCGATGGTGCTCTATTTCTACCAACGGGGTCAGAACCTATATTTTCTCGTGGCTGGGCAAATGCAAAGGTCCTTTGGTGGGCAAAGAGTAAATGGCTACACTCCGGGATGATGCCGTTGGGAGAGTACTTGCGTCACTAGGAGCAGGGGGAGCCGAGGAACGGGTCGCCAGAGACTCTATAGATGTGTTGTCCATAACAAAGAAGAGAAGAGAAGGTCGATGGCTGGTGAGAGAGGAACAGGGAGAGGAGTGAGGAAGATGATGATATAAAATTGGGATAATAAAAAACCCACTAAGCCCTACATCATTTCCCTTCATGCATCAGGGATACCGAAAACCCTCAGCCATTATATCAAGTATCCTAAAACTATGGAGTAAGGTAGAGAGAAAAGTGGGGTTTAATTGGAGTTTAAATGAAGCCGCTAGCAAGATCATTCATACGAGCTCCTTAAAAAAATGAAGATTTCCACAAGGGGTAAAGCTCCGGCCTATTATCTCTTAAACCCTTTTGAGGAGGGCAATTGTTGGACTAAAAGTAAAAAATATCTAGAGAAGAGGGGCTATTCTGCGACTTTGGAGCATCAACAACGACTTGCTTTTAGAAGGCTATCACTCTACCTATTTAGTCTGACATGGGAAATTTCTTGTTATGCAATGGGTTAAAAGTAGAAGCCTCAAGTCCTCTCTCCAATTTCTTTTTGGTTTTTTTTTTTATCTTTTAATAAAAAAATATACTATATTTTTATTAAGTAATAGATTGTTTTAACTTAAAGCTATTGTATAAATTTATTTTCCCAACTGTCAGCTAATAAAGTAGACATGGAACATGTAGGTATTTAAAAGTTTTTTATTTTTATTTTTGACCATCGTTGGTGCTCTTACACGAGTCGCTCGTGAATTCATCTCGAGTTTTTACTGTCGATTTAAAAACCACTCTTAATAATTATTTTTGACTGAGAGAGGGAAGGCCGTCGACACTAAGAAGCGTCTAAAACAAAGTCAGTATGTGAGCTCTTATATCAATAAACATACATAATAAGATTCAAAGAGTCAAGAAATGATCAGACCTACGCCAACCCGACTCACACTGGTCAATGCAGACTGCCCCGCACATACACATACACACACGTGCGTGTGTGTGTCTCAGAGCGTGCGATTCCTTTTCCATTTTAGTACGTAGGTTACGGACTGATTGTCCGGAGCCATTTCTAAATTGATAGATAAAACTTTTCTCTCTCTCTCTCTCTCTCTCTCTCTCACAGATCTCTGATGCTTCCTGTAAGTTATTGCTGATTGCTCAACCTCCAAGGTACGAGACGCACGCTTATGGGGTTGGCTCAGATTATTAGATTCCCCTAAAAATTGAGAAACTTCTGAAGCCATAGCATCAATAATATGTAACTGTTTTCCTCCTAGCTCTTTCTCTTTCTCTTTCCCTTTCTGTTCATTTAATTCTGCGTTTGAGAATTATTGAGACAGCTATAGCTAGCAGATTTCGATGTGCAGAGTGAGTTTTCGGACATGGGGGTTTGCTTCAGTGCTAGAATCAAATCCGACAGCCCCATTTTCATCGGTATTTCCATTTTTCTTTCCTTTCCTTTCCTTTCCTTTATGTATGATCGATCCTGCCCTGCCCTGCAGGTTCGAATTCGCCGCCATACGTTACCTCAATGAGAGTAGTGGAAAGTAGCAGTCCAGGTGGGAGCGATGGAGAAATTCTGCAGTCCTTCTCCAACCTGAAGAGCTTCACCTTTTCTGACCTCAAAATGGCAACCCGTAATTTCCGACCCGACAGCGTTGTCGGAGGCGGCGGATTCGGATCCGTTTTCAAAGGTTGGATTGACGAGAATTCCTTCGCCGCCGCCAAGCCTGGGACAGGCCTAGCCGTTGCAGTCAAGAAACTCCATCAGGAAACTTATCAGGGCCATAGGGAGTGGCTGGTGGGTAATTCATTCCTTCATTCATTCATTCAATTCTTGAATCTTGATGGATTTTTGGACAGTGTAGTGTCTTAATTCTTGATTACATAACAGGCGGAAGTGAACTATTTGGGGCAGTTTGCACATCATCCTCATCTTGTTCGACTGCTTGGCTACTGCTTGGAAGACGATGAGAGGCTTCTGGTTTATGAATTCATGCCGCGGGGAAGCTTAGATAATCATCTCTTTCGAAGTTAGCATTGTGATTATATATATATATATATATATATTTAAGGTTGGACTTGTAATGAATTCAAACCTACTAACCATGTTGTTGTTGTTGTTGTTGCTGCAGGGGGGTCTTATTTCCAGCCCCTGTCCTGGAATCTTCGACTAAAGGTGGCCCTCGGAGCTGCCAAAGGGCTCGCTTTTCTTCATAGCTCCCGAGCCAAAGTTATTTACAGAGACTTCAAAACTTCCAACATTTTGCTCGACTCGGTACATTTGTCTATTATTTGTTATGTTCAAAGCATGTATATGTTATTGTCTTAATTAATTAATGTAAGATTGGTAGTTAAAACTTGTTAAATCTTTGAACTTGGTAGAACTACAACGCGAAGCTATCCGATTTCAGACTGACTAAGGATGGGCCAACTGGCGATAAAAGTCATGTGTCCACAAGGGTCATCGGAACGTACGGCTACGCAGCCCCTGAGTATCTCGCAACAGGTATGGTATAATTCATTCATTCGTCATCTAGTCTTGTTTTATTGTTATTTTATTTTGAAAATTAAAATGATAAAATTGCTCATAATTTTCCGATGGTTTCGAAATTATTTTATTTTAAAAATTGCATGGCACCCCTTTATACTTTAAAAACGTTACATTAAATCCCATCACTATGAAACTTTCCTTGTGTGACGAGAAGATGATTTTTTATCTATTTTTTTTTTGTATGACCGAGGATTTTATGCAATACTTTTTAAAAGTATAAGGGTCAGCATTCAATTTTTAAAATTAGTGGAGAATTATGTTGAGTTTTGAAACCTCAGATGAATTTGATGCAATATTTTTTAAAGTATAAGAGTCACTATGCAATTTTTAAAATAAGTGGAGATTAATGTTGAGTATTGAAACCACACAGGAGTTTCATGCAATATTTTTGAAAATATAAAGTGATGCCGTGCAATTTTTAAAGTAAATAGGGATTTACGCTGAGTTTTGAAACTACAAAGGAGTTATGGACAATTTTGCGAGTTAAAATTAATTGATGGATTTAAGTTTTGTGTAGGACACTTGACTGCAAAGAGCGACGTGTACAGCTTCGGGGTTGTCCTCCTGGAATTGCTGTCGGGCAGAAGAGCGATCGACAAGAACAGAGCGGCAGGCGAGCAGAAGCTAGTGGAGTGGTCGAAGCCGTACTTGGGCAACAAGCAACGCAAAGCCTACCGCATCATGGACAGTCGGCTCGAGGGCCAATACACGATGGAAGTGGCTCAGAAAGTCGCAAACCTCGCCCTACGATGCGTGTCATTAGAGCCCAAGCTGAGGCCTAAAATGGCCGACGCCGTGAAAGATCTCGAGCAACTTCAGTTTGATTTAGGTACCAGCAGCAACAACAACAATGGTTCCAATTCCAATTCCAAACCTCGATACCGGCGAAGGAGCACTGGCAATAGCACAGCAAACTCGAGTTCTTGAGGAAATGATAAATTCTTGCACATAAGGCTCCGACGGTTGTTGGCAACTGTGGATTTCCTAGTAGTACATACAAATACTTAGATACATTTTCATGTCTGTATAATGATGATCAGCTTCGTGTATTAATGTACGACTGTTTAATATTATTCCTTCCCTCCGAGTAATGTTTCTATATTATGTTTAGATTGTTAGTTAATATATTATATTTATTTTTTTATTTAAAGTTTTACTTGTTAATTTGTCTCATTTAAGTTTGACACAGAGTTTTAGGTATTGTATAATTAATAAGTAATTAAGAAGATCGTACTAGTAAAAATAATTATAGATTAAGATTAAAATAACTAAATAGTTTAATTAAAATAAAAACATTTATAAATTATGAATTTTAAAATGTAATTAAAGTGTATAATTATATTTTAAAAAAAAGAAAAGAAAAAAAAAGAGTAGATAAATTAAGTGGAATGAAGTAATTATTATTTTGAAGATAAAAAAAAAATAAAATTATCAGTTTGACATTTTTATCATTTGACATAAATGTACGTGTAGTTAACTGTATTTTAGTATTAGAATATAATTTTTTTTAAAAAAATAAGAAGAGATACTTTGAAGTAGACAGACAAAAATAGTAAAAATGATACTTGAAATGGGACGGAGCAAGTATATTTTATTAAGATATAATGCTAAAGTATTCATAATATCAACAATACTACTCATATAAAAATTAGTAAAATGAATATAAGAAAAATTAGAAATCATAGTAAAAAAAATTAACAAAATATAGAGTAATAGAGGACGAAAATAAACTTTATTTCTCGATTCTTTTACACTATCAAACTATTACAATATATAGATATATATAATGGATAAATACAAATATCACTAATTTATTATCCAATATTCACTCTCAATCATATATTATGATATAATTTATTATTCAGTATTCACTAAATCAATATATATCAAACTTTATTATATAATCATCAAATCAATATAATATTATTATCAATAAATATCATAATTCAGTGCTAACATTCCTTAATTATGATATTCCGCCGTAGTCATCCCAAGCATTTCCTCAACTTCACAAAGGATTCATGCTTCAATGGCTTTATAAAAATATCGGCAACTTGATCTTCGGACTTACAAAACCTCAATTCAATCTTCCTTTTATTCACAACTTCCCTCGAAAAATGGTAACGAACGTCTATTTGTTTTGCTTTTCCCATACGCTATAGGATTCTTGGCTAAATTATTTGCTGAAATATTATCGACTTACAACTGTATAGGACCTTCAACCGAAATGTCAATTTGATCTAACACATTTTTCAACCAAATAGCTTGACAAACACTCGTGGACGCAACAACATACTCAGCTTCACAAGTAGATAGTGCCACTATAGACTGTTTTTTCAAAGACCAGGAAATAACAGTATAACCATAAAAAAAAGCAATTTCCGGTACTACTCTTTCGATCCTCAAGATCTCCTCTCCAATCGCTTTCGGAAAATCCAATAAGAGAGTTGCCAGAAAGTGAATAAAAAAGACCATAATCATGAGTGCCCTTTAAATACCTCAAAATCCTTTTAGCAGCTTGAAGATGCGATTGGCGTGGAAATTCCATGAACCTGCTAATTATCCCAACACCATAAGTAATATCCGGCCTCGAATATGTGAGATATTGTAAGCTTCCAAAAATTTGTTTAAAATATGTCGGATTGACGACATGCTCATCTTCACTTTTCATCAAACCTCGTGCCAACCTCCACTGGAGTTCGTGCAACATTGCAATGTTGCATGTTAAACCTTTCTAATATTTTAGAAAACTACTTCTGTTGTGCATCAAAGAACCCACCATTTCTTTGAGTAATTTCAATGCCAAGAAAGTATAACATCAAACCCATGTTGGTCATATCAAACTTGCGCTTCATGGATAATTTAAACTCCTCAATCATGCGAGGATTATTCCCTACAAAAATAAGATCGTCAACATATATACACAACACTAACTTATCGCCAGTAGAAGTGACTTTGACATAAAGAGTATGTTCACTTTGACATAATCAGCATAGTCTATGCTTGCGGGGCTTGTTTGAGTCCATACAAGGCCTTCTTCAATTTATACACATTTTGCTCACTTCCATGCGATTGAAAGCCAGAAGGCTGCTTCACATAAATCTCCTCTTGAAGTGGGCCGTACAAAAATTCGGATTCTACATCCATTTCATGTATATTCCAAAAATTTTGCGCAACTAAGGCTATCAACAACCTTATCGTCTCCATTCGAGCTACAGGTGCAAATACTTCTTGAAAGTCGAATCCGGGCCTTTGTTCATAGCCTTTCGCCACAAACCTCGCCTTATACCTTTCTACTTCTACATTTGCCTTCACCTTCCTTTTAAAAAACCCACGTGACATCAATGAGTTTGCAACCATATGGAGCATCCACAAGCTCCCAAGTTTGATTTTTCTCAATGGAATTCAATTCCTCCTCCATAGCTTTCACCCATTTGGTATCTTTCATTGCATCGTCAATTGATTTAGGTTCACAATCTACATACATAGCCATGCACAATTTCTCCATCATTATAAATGACATCATCAGAGGTTACCTCATAATCACGTAGTGTGACTGGAAGTTGTCGCTGACACCTTGGCCTTTCATTGAAAGTATTGGCTTGTGTCGGCCTTACATTGAAAGTATTGGCTTGTGTAGTTTCTTCAACCATACTATGAATTCCACCTTCAGAAGCACCTTCAAATAATTCAACAGGCCGACTTTGAGTGACTTGAGGCAAACTCCAACTCCATGTTTCATCCTCCATAAAAATGACATCTCTAATGATGATGACTTTATTTGTTGTTGGGTTAAGAACTTTGTATCCACTATGCGCATAACCCACAAAGATAGTCTTTTCTTCACAATCATCAAGTTTTGTTCGAGTGGCCACCGGAATGTGTACATAGACCACGGAACTAAATACTCTCAAATGTTGAACTTTAGGTTTGATTCCGCACCATGCTTCTACCGGCGTCAAGTCACGGATAGCTTTTGTTGGAGACTAATTCAACAAATACACCGAACAAACAACAACTTCTCCCAAAAAAAAATTGGGCAACCCTTTGGCTTTCAACATGCTTCTTGATATCCAAGATGGTTCTATTCTTCCGCTCCGCAACTCCATTATGCTAAGCAGTGTAAGGTGGAGTTATTTGATGCTCGATTCCATGATCATCTAGGAAACTCTTGAACTCGGAAGAGGTATAATCACCACCACTATCCGTTCGCAACTTGTTTTTTTTTTTATAAAAAAACCACTTTGTTTTTCTACATGAGATTTAAATTTCATCAAGCTTGTGAACACTGCAGATTTCTTATGTAGCAAATAAATCCAAATCTTTCGAGAAAAATCGTCAATAAATGTCAAGAAATGCTTGTTGTTGCCATGAGATTCAACACTCATCGGGCCACAAACATCGGAGTGAACAAGACCCAATATGTGATTCACTCGCCAATTATTTTCAGTTTTGAATGGTCACCTACTTTGCTTTCCTAAAATGCATGCTTCACACGCTTGATTGGGGTATCGATCTTTGGCAATCATTTCACCATGTTCCTTTGAGCAAGCATTTGCAAGCTTTGAAAATTCAAGTGACCAAAGCGAAGATGCCATAACCAAGACTCATCTTTCACCATTGCATTAAGACAAGTATATACATTGCCAGGAATATCAACATGAAACATACAATTCTTTGTTAAAGTGGTCTTCAAAGTAAGTGTACCTTTTCTATCGAGAATTGAAAAATCACGCCCTTTAGAATGCATTTCATACCCTTTTCCCAACAATTGACCCATGCTTAGGAGATTACTTTTTATAGCAGGCACATAGAAGACCTCCGATATGAAACTATGATCTCCATTCCTTAGCTTAATAAGAATGCATTATTTTCCCATAACCGGCACTGTGCTATCGTCGGAAAACTATTTATGAGATCGAATAGATTCGTCAAGTTCAACATAAGGCTCGCGTCTACCGCACATGTAATTTGTACATCCGATATCTAGAAACCGTGTATAAGAGTTTGACACTTTATTGGTGGAAATAACCATCAAAAGAGCATGACCATGATCATCTTGATCGTCATCTTCTTGTGTATAATGTGTCTTTTGGTCAATTCTTTTGTATAGCAACATCATAAACAATTCAAAAACATGAAAATCAATACAAAAGTGTAGAGCGATGTAAATAATCAATTGAAATTACGATTAGACATTAAGGAACATCAAAAGAAATTAATAATATGAAGAAAAAAGAAAAATAAGAAAAAAAAAAGCGAGGAGCAGAAATGTAATAAAAAATAGTGTTTCATCATAAATGGATAGCACTGCAGTGCAAGAGGTAAATAGATTAAATAACATTTTTACCCTTATTAATATTATAACTATTAAATTAATTTTTAATTTAACATATTAAAATTAACCCGTATATTCTCATATATATATATATAATTAATTAATCTAAACAGATTAACATTTTTTCTTTGAGTAGAAGCCAAAAACAAGCAACCAGCATCATATATTACTAGGTCTTATTCAATTCTTGCATCTAAGTCCCATTAATAACGGTTGTTGGAAGATACATTTCAGCCTGCATTTATTTATTTATTTTAATATTTCGAACAATCTTTATTTACACTTTCCAATGCTCTATTCATTCCAGAATCTTATCAATACTGAGAAATTAGAGCAGCGTGGTGTGGTGGTGGTGCCACACTGCCACTTGCGTCGGAGGCTTCTACTGATGTGCGATCATGTCTGGATAAGAATTTACGAGAATATCCTTGGCTGGGGTATGTGGTTGAATTATGTATGGGCGGGTGCATCTGAGGGCGGCACGGGTATGGAAGTAATTTGACTTGATAAGAGCCGCAAGTTGGAAGGTGGACAGATGGTCCGTGAGCGTCAACTTTGGTACGGACCACATAATAATAATAATAATAATAATAATAATAATAATAACCGTGGTATGTCACATTGTGTTTTTTAATATAATTTTTAAAATTTTATTATTTGACTTCTATATTTTTAAAAAAGAATATTTTTTAATAAAATATTTTATTAAATATTATTTTAATATTAAAAAATTGAACCAAAATTTTCAAAATTTTTATCAAAAAAATGCACCCGTAAAATTATTTATTTGGTCTTGTTAGTTATTCTCGTTTGACCTTTTTTAGACTACATTATATAGGAGTACGTGGATAACATAGTTATAATATTGGGTTTGAGCGGTTGCCACGGCTCAAGTTTGGAAGGCCTTGATAGGCTTATCTAATTGGGCCTATCAGATAATTGAGTTTTATCTACTGCAATAGTTTTGTTTTTTACTGTAAAATCTTGATCTCGCATCGCGGCGACCTTGGTGCAGACGAGGCCACGTTCAGGAGGAGGGGTTATCTTCTCTCATTTTCATCTCTTCTCTTCCTTTATTCTATGTATCCTATTTTTTCGTGTTCTCCTCTCCTCAATTTTGTTAGAATCGTCCATTTTCCCATTGTTTAGAAAATAATCGTCATAGACGGTCAGACGTTCTTTATATCTCCACCATTAAAGACTTGATTCTGGGAAAGGGTTTCAAGTAACTCATTGGGGAGAAATGGCATTGCTATAGTTCCCACGGTATTTTCTGCGTGTGACACAAACAATTTCATTTAAAGGTTAGGAAATTGGAAAAAAATTTGTATCCTTGATTCTATAGTTCCCAACAGTATTTTCTGCGTGTGGCACAAACAATTTCATTTAAAGGTGAGAAAATTGAGAAAAAATTTGTATCCTTGATTTGGGACTGCCTCTGTTAACAATGAATTAGGATTATTTTTTGGTTTGCACTTCTATTATCCATTTACGTAGTTGGGGAATTATAGATAAGGAGACTTTGTTGCCTTTCTATTGCTATTGATTTATTGTTTCGACATGGAAGAGGAAATTCATTTCACTATGGAGTTGTTTTTGTACATATATACGTAGGGGTGGGTAAAAAGCCCGAACCGAACTAAACCGAACCGAATTTTCGGTTAACCGAGTAAATACGGTTTGAATACAAATACCACATATTTGATATTTGTTCGGTTCAGTTTGATTTTGGTTTTTTCTATTTTTTTTTGGATTAGGTTAACCAAACTGAATATATTTATATATTTTAAATTTTATATTTTTTAATTATATACATCATAATTATTATTATTGGGCTTTTGTGTTTTAATGGGTTGAATAAATAAAATATACTTACCAAATGGGCTACCCAATAGTCCATTACCAAAATTTAAAAATTAAAATCAAATACCAATCCTAATTGTTATACAACACACATTGTTGACACACATAGACTCACACCTTACAACCAGTCACCTACTGCACATCGCGATCAAACTTACGAGTAACGAACACATTGCCGCTTACCTCTGCACGCCGATGCCGACGCAATTGCCACAGTTGTAATTTCTAATCTCCGTCTACCACCATTATCATCTTCGGCTTCATTCTTTGCATTCAACATATTATTTCCTTCATTCTTTATTAAAATTGCTCATTTTATTTATTTCTTTTTCTATTATTGGATTCGATTTTTGTTAATTAGTAGCAATGATGTTGTTTCTTTGTGTTTCTTTTGATATTTTGTTTTGCGAGACTTGGTAGCTACCGTGAAATATTTTGATATTTATTTATTTTATTCAATTTTGGTTCGATTTAGTTCACAATATTTGCAAATATTTTTTTTTTAATTGAAATTTTAATTAATTTTTAAATATATTTACTTTTCAATTAGGTCCGGTTCGATTATTTGCAAATACTGCAAATATTTTCGGTTAACCAAAAATTTTGGTTTGAATACGGTTCAAAATTTCGGTTATCTATTCGGTTCAGTTCGGATATCAAATACCTGCATATTTTCAAATATTTGAACCATGCCCACCCCTGTATGGGTTAATCGGAATGATTTTTGCTAATGTGCTTCCCTTCATAGGTCAAGTATCATATTCTGTAATTGAAAGTTAATTAGATCATATTATGCATAAATTTGATAAACGTTTCTGTTTTGGGCCTCAAATGACCAAATTTTGTTTGCATTTTTCCAAAATATAATTAAGGCTCACGACATTATTGTGCACTGTGGTATGGTATGATATCTCTTTCTGTCTGTTTATTTTGTTTGTTATTCTATTTTATAATGTTAGAAAGGTTGTAGAGTTGCAACTTAGATAAATAACTTGAACCCCAATAGCTTGATGAAGTTTGTTCGAACCAGAGGGTATCACTCGAGTTATATATTGGATAGGCTTAGAACCTAAGGGAAAGTTTGTTCTATTGTAACTGTTAAAATGTACAATAATTCTTTGACTAGGCTGTTTTCAGGTGCAAATAGAAGCAGTTGTTTCATTAAGAATGGCAAAAAACTAATAGAGGAGTTACTTATCTAAACATTGATTGTCATCTTCCCAAGAATTGTATATAAATATTTTCTTCTCTGCTGCAAATTGTACCCAAACAATTTGGATGGCCTTGGAAAAAAGTAATTAGCCTTTTCTCATGATGTACTTTATATAATGAAACTGCAAGTTAAGAACATTACTGACATATATGTTGTTACATGTATATTTGTATACGATTGTACAGGTTTCATAGATGATGTCATCTGTCTGAGTTTGTAAGTGATTTCTAGTAGTTATATATTTATAACCATCTCTATCAGGTTTCATATATACTTCGAGCCCTTCTATTTGGTGGGTAGTTTATTTGTCCTTCATCTTTGTGCAAAATTCGGGTATATGAATATATATAATAGATAGAACGGGTATTGTTTGAAGGCTTCTTTATATTCAGTGAGTTGGAAGTTGTCTGTCCCATTGCCTTATGTTAATGATGCACAACCGTATCCATTTTGCAGTGACATCTCACCGCTTCTTGCAGTGTGCTCAATAATGGCTGACGAATGAGACAATTATAAGGTTGATGGCGATAGAGTCCAAGGCCTTGGGAAGTTGTCCGAGACATGGAACAAAGTTCAGTCCAAACCCCAAAATCCATCCCAACATACTCAAGGTACACCAACTATGGTGACACAACAAGCAACATTCCTTAGCCATTATAATGTGGGTTTAGGTTGGCCTTTTCTCCCGATGCAATTCCTACCACAGTCCAATGACCCATTGTTCTACCAGCACTTGTGGAGTTTCGCGGTTCTGGGAAGCACGCCACTTCTTCCTCACCAAGAAACCCAATCCATGTAGCCGAAGACTGCTCTCTCGACCGCAAACCGTCAAAATTTCTCAACAGAAACTCCTAGTAAAAGCAATCGTTCAAACAGGGTAATAGGAAGTAATCAATGCGTAAATAAGAATTAGACTACTAAGGAGGATGTGAAGTTGTCTACGGCCTACTGTAATGTTACCATTCATGCCCGCATAGGTGTATCCAGAAGAAACATAATCTATGCGACCATGTTTATGAGAATTTTGTATTGTTGATGGAGAAGAATCACGGGGTTCCGAAGTCTTAAAATAAAAAAAAACCCGGGTGCTTGTAAAAATCGAATGGCAAAAATGAAATACAATGCTCCAAATGGACTGCAATACGGTTCATGTAGAAGGACAAAACCAAGTTGGTGGAGTTCCACAGACTTCATAGGTTCACTTAAATCTATCGTTGTGTGCGTTGAATTATGCAAGTTGACAACATTCCGTAATCTTGGTAAAAATTTATATTGTTAGGATCAATATTGGGAAGAAGTATATTATGAAAAGCATCTAACGAATTTCAGGTGTGTGGCTTGTTAGCGTATTTTGAAGGATTAACCGAAGAGGATGAAGTTTGTAATTGGGAAGAAGATGCAGCTGAGTGAGCCACGAACTCCAAGCAAAAAAAAAAAAGGTTGTGAACAATGCTCCATGCAGGGGGAGACTCGTGAGCAGTCACCTATAACACCAGCTAACACCTCTCATCAGGGTGTGCACGTTGACGTTGAGGGCTCAGATAAAGGGCCCAGCCATAATGAGTTGAATGGGCCTGCTGCGGTTGAGATGGAGCCGCCAATGGGGGTTAAGAAGGCTAAGGCCAACTGCAAGGATAATAACCAATGTCATCAGAGAATAAGGCAACATGAAGAGTCTCAGGCCTCAGCAAGACAAATTATCACTGCCAGTCTTATGGCTCTCAATTCGTCGCAAGCAGATAAGTGGTGTAAGATAAAGGAGATTGAAACAAGGAGAGAAAAGTTGATATAAGCAAAATAAAGTGAGCAGGTAACTCTGATATTTCATTTCATAATATACACAATAATTCAGCTTAAATTATATCATAGGACTCGTTTAACATTTATTCATTAACTTACCGATAAATGGAGTCCAACATTCGGCAAGGATGGTCAGAGAAATTATGCTACTGATGATGGAGATGGCAAAAATCGGTGAGAAAATGATTGTTTCTTTCCATAAGTTCGAGGAGTTGGATCCATCGAAGCTTGTAATTGAAGTATCAAAGAATGAGTACGCCATCAGAAGAAGAACAACTTGAGTACTACATGGATGCATGCAACGATATTTGGCAACCGTGATTGTACCATTTCATTGTAATTCAACATAATGAAATTGTAATCAAACCCCATTTATGTTGTTCAAGCGTAAAGGCGGCCATTGCAGCCATCAAGAAGCAAAAGAGCCAAACCCATGATATAGGTGAGTCTAGTGTTTCTCCAAGTGGAGGTAAAACGCATAACCTGATTGAAACCCTTGATAAAAGTAGTTTTTACTGCATCTTCAGTGGATTGGGTGGACTGGTGTTGAAATTCTCGATGTTGAACTATTTCTCGGAAAAATAGCCGTGATGCGTTAATGTTTTTTTTTTTTTTCGGGCATCTTGTACTATAATTGAGTTTGGATTCTTGACTTCATTGCTATATAGTTGGGTCTTAAAGGCATGGGAACACTAGTGTTTATTGAATATTTTTAATTGTTCACTACGACATGTTAAGAATTAATGCGTCTTTGAATGTATCTTCATTGTGTGAGAAGTGTGGCCCATTGCGGTGGTTGAACCGGGCAGCTGATAATAGTTTTCATGTTTTATGGTTTGCTTGAGTTGATGATGTTTCATGCAATGGTACGATATTTGTTTGAATGTATCTTGTTCAAGTTGGATATTGTAATACATGCCCGGTTATTGTTCATTACATTGTCTATGCTAGAAATAGAGCATTAAGTTCATAGATCGAAAACCACATGCAAAGGGTTTTTCTAAAAACCTTCGTAATGCAGAGACAAGACGCCGGAGATGCATGCAGTTGCAGCTACTAGAATGTGAACAACTTGAATGTTTGCAAGTCACGTTACCTTTGTTGACGAATATGATCGATGCTAGTGCACCAACGTAAAGGAGCTACAATTATCACGATCAAGAAGGGAGGCACAAAGAGTTATAGGTAGACTACCTATTCGAGATGCCTTGTTTCCCTGCATCATTTTTCCACCGGAGGTTTTGCATGCGTTGTGAGCTTTTTACTCGAATATTAGCTTATCTGTGAATAAAAATAAGTATTTCATGCAGAGGCCCGATTGCACAAACCGTCTAGGTCATTCTCCTTTACAAAAAATGATGGCCGCTATACGGGTGCTTGGGTATGGGTGTTGCTTTGATAGTGTAGACGACGTTATAAAGATTGGGGGTAGCTCAGTTCAAAGGGAAACAATGGAGTTTTGTGAAACGATCTTTCATATTTACAAAAATAGTATTTACGTGATCCGGAATGATAGGCTCACTTGATTGAATGCTTTGACGGTGGGATGCATGCCCGATTGCATGGAATGGTCAATATAATGGATGCTATGACTACCCTACGTTCATTTTGGAGGGTGTTGCATCGCATGATCTTTGGATATGACATGCATTTTCGGGATGCTTGGAACCAACAATGACGTAATTTTTTTAGACCACTCGTTGTTGTCCGATAAGTATATGAACGGGACAACACCACCCGTTGAGTACGAGGTGAATGGTTCAGTGTACAACCTTCCTTACTACTTAAAAGACATAATTTTTCCCAAACATGCTATCTTTATGCAAGCCATTAGAAATCCAGTTACAGCGAAAGAACGAGCATTTACAATGTTGTAGAAGGATTTTTGGAAGAACATTGAGAGAGCATTTGGCGTCTCTAGCAAAAATGGAGAGTACCATGCGTGCCAAAGAGACTCGAAAAACCGAAAGATCTTTTGGTTATGACGACGTTTATCATCCTACATAATATGGTGGTAGAATATGAATGTGGAGAAAACCTACCGGAGTGGGTGCCAGCTCACGACGAGGACCAAACTGATACATACAATTCACATTATGTTGAGAAAGTCCATATGCTAAATGGAATAAGAATGGGCAGACTCCATAATACAAGAACAAATCCGAGGCTACAAGAGGATCTGATCAATTACCAATGGATGATAAGTGGGGGTGAAGACATTCTTTAGAATATTGCTTGACGTGTTGTAGTTCGGTTATATTATTACCATATTCTAATTACTCAATGGACTTGCGTCATTTTATTGCGGTATATTGTATTATTCTCATTGAACTATTTTCCTGTGTGAATGAATTATTGGTTTGGACCAAAAATTATATGTGTAAATATATAACACCAGAGTACATGTGAACACGGCCATGTTCTACGTTTTATTGTGGCCAGTGTTGTGACACAGACACGGTCGTGGTGTGCTATATGGTAACGAATACAGACGTGTTCTTATTTTCTCACTGCCGTGTTTACAACCAAGGATAGTACCAGGGGTAAGACACAGCTGTTTTGTAGTCCGTTTCAAACAAACACGCCCGTGTTTGTTATCGACACCCCTATGTCGACTTTTCAGAATACTACCCAAGGGTAAGATACGGCCGTGTAATTTTCTATATTTCAGGACATGACCGTGTTTTTCATAACACACCCGTTTTGTATTTACATAATAGAGCCCTTAGGTTAAACACGCCTTGTGCCTTGGAGTCGTTTCACAAACACGGCCGTGTTACAATTGACACGGCCGTGTTCGTGAATCATACACTCAGCTTCACATAAGCATGCATGGCTATGGTAAAACAAACACGGCCATGTTAGGAAAATAGAATACTACCTGGGGTATAGACACAACCGTGTTAGTTGCGTGTTTAATAACACAACCATGTATATGGTTACACATCCGTGTTTGCATCAGATCTAGGTTTTTTATAAGTCGTAATTCAGTTATACACGGGCCACAAACCATAATTATTTCCTGTGTTCGGTTCTCTCGCGACTTAGGAGGTTATCAAATCGACGGTGGCGAATCAAGTAGCGGCATGGACGGCGGCGGTGTGTATGGTGGCGGGCAACATCTGTTGGCAATGTAGGAACTTTGCTTATTTTAACCGGGAAAAAAGGTATTCGCTATTGTTGTTAAAGTTTTCGCGGGAACTTTCTAGAATACTCCACGATGTCGTGCCTTTTGTTGATTGAAATCCTGAAATTGTGCCATAGCTTTGGGTTTGTTACATAATATATGTATGTTTTTGACATTTTTGTTTTTTTGTATGTTTTAGACATTTTTGTTGCCTTTCTTGGGAATGTGAGGGAATAATGATTTTTTTTACAAACCGAGTTAGGCCAGGCTTGTTATTTTATTGGAAAAAGGCAAAAGTACCCTACTATAATTTTCATTTGTTGTAGTTGATGAATTGTCCCATGGGATAGTGTAGGTTTTGTGTACTCCGTCGCGCGTATCATATTCTTACTTGTACATGCTTCGGGAGAAATCCTATATGCATGGTCTTAGCATAACTTATTAGTTTTGATTCTTTTCATTGCAACATTTTTTCTAGGAATGGCACTGAAGGGAAAAAAATAATTGAAAGGGAAAGGAGTTTCGGGGTCGTCAACTGGAAATATGGTTCCTAATGTAGTAACTTAATACCCGAACCAAAGCAGGGAGAATAATATGAGCGATTGAAAAATAAGGTCTTCTTGATGAGCAAGCACATTGATAGCAAGGTCTTGGAGGTCTTAGACATTGAAGTGGACATTGAACAATTGATATCGGTTGGGGCATGAAGTCATTTTTTTTTGAAATTATTGAGCCGAGTTATAAGTGTTTGACATTGGAGTTTATGTCCATGTTGACGCACGAATCCATAAAATAATACTATAAAGAGTCAAGGAGCTTGGAGTTTTCACTAAGATTCAAGATGTTTTCGATTTCATTAGATGACTTTGTTGCCATATTGGGTTTGTATGATAGGGAGTTTGTCACTACGCGGTGTTTAATCAGATGGAGCACACCACTTTTGGTCTTAGATTAGCACAGATCAATTTCAAAATCCAACATGTTCAAGGGAATCAACCCTACGGTCTGCACCTATGTGGTACATTCATTACATTTTAGCGTATACATTATATGGTCGAAAAGAGAGCACGGGTGTAGTCTCTTCGCACAATTTGTGTTACCTTTGGAGCAGGCATGCTCGTTTACCTAGACACTTAGGATACATGCTTGCAAGATTCCTTATTCATCAGGTTGAGGATAAATGATTGGGAGCCATTTCGGTTGGGCCTTATGTCACACGTTTGGCGAAGGGTCTTGGAGTGTTTAGTCAAGACCTGGAATACCCTTGTAGTCTTATGATGCCTTGTGGTTCCGCACCCTGCAGTCTATGAGTATGGTTATGAAGGTTAAGACACAAGGAGGACATGAGCGATGTGTTTTGGTGGGTAGGGCTAATGACAAAATGGATGAGAATGATCCTGCCATTGGTGGCCACGTTGATTAGAAGATTGACCAAGGGGCTGGGCACCGTCAAGCTCATGGCCGCGATCTTCATAGGGGCTCGGGCGAGGAGTCCTCCGTCGACCATTTACATATGGATATAGCCGGTTTGACGTTATGGCGTAAGAAATTAGAACGTCATTTGCAAGCCTCTACCATATTTCTCTATCCCTTACCCCCCGGTGCAACCTTCTACTGCAGTTGCACCGGTGGATGATATTACGGCGGAAGGGAATCTTTGTTCTGGAAAGCTCGATCCGAATGTTTTGATTGATGACAAAAAAAACTTATCTAAATGATAGATGTTAGTTTTTGTTCATGCTATGCGAACTCTATTTTATGTAATGTTGACATTTCGCTTTAATGTAAAGTGTGTGGTTTTCAATTCACGAACTTAAGCTCTATTTCTAGCATAGACAATTTCATGAACCGTAACCATGCATGTCTTACAATATCTTATTCGAACAAGATACATTCAGACAAATAGCAAATCACCGTAAGAAACAAATTTGTATTCAAGACTATTCTAGAGTACATTGGATGCGGAATACACCCTAAACCCAGGCTGCATTTCTTACGTAGTCGACTTTAAAATAGAAAAGTAGAAACAATTCACGAAAATTTAAGTTGCTAGAGGATAATCAAAGGGTAGAGGGTATCTGCGTATCTACTAGACACAATCTGATTCTCGGTGATGATCACTCTGGATGAAAGCATTTGCTTAACAGTCGAATGTACTTAGAAATTTCATTATAATAGGATAGAAAGGGATAGTGTTATTCTTCCCATTACCTTGTCTATTTTTTCTGTGTTGATCATTTTGCTTTATTTCCCCAAAGCAAGATCAGTGAGTATGTGTTCCATGTATGATCACCAACTGCAACACAACGTGACCAATCTGAAGCAATTCATGACAACAAGTTGTTAAGGCAGAAGACATAACATGGGTAATGAATAGTTTCATGACGTGATATGTAATTATGTAACATTAAAACGGAGATGCTGATCATTGTCTATGTCTTCTTTCCTACCATCTATCAGAAGCACATCTACCAGCTCATATTCCACGAAAAAAAAATCACTAACTAACGAGTTACTAACCTAGGCAGATGACTATAAAACCCAACATTGACCTCCGGATGTTTGAAACAAACTTCTTGTTTGCTCGTTGTCTTTTCCCTTCACACACCCCTTGGACAAAAACAATAACTGGGGGTTTAATCCGAGCAACCATTAACGTCGCCATAACATTGAAAACAACTATGATAGTGGTAACAACATTAGACATTAAACCCATGAATATGTTCATAGAAAATATTAAATCTACATCGATAGACACTAAATAGTAGCAAACACCCTTGGTACAATGTAAACAATGACTTAATGGCCACGCCGACAAACTAAGGCTACAACATTAGACTAGATAGATGTTTCAGTCAAAATAAAAACACACAAATAAGGATCATTGTAGAAATTACAATATTCGCAACCATAATGTATTCATGCATCGTGTGAGTTGTTGTCTGCCTTTTCTCCGGCCTGCATGGATAGAAACAACAATCATTAGGCCTCCCGCCACGCCTCGATGTGGCACTAGACTCCCCATAATGAAATAATGTTTCTCTCTTTTGATCACATTCACAGTCGGATGTTCAGTGTCAATGTCTTCCCATCCTAGCCAATTACCACACATATGACAATGGTAGTACCATCTGCTTGAATTTTTAACACTCCTAGACCAATTTAAAGAACCTTATATTCCACACACACTCCAGGGTCTCATTTTTTTAGTGTGGATGCTTATTCTCCTGCTATAGCCAAAAATAATTTGTAGATTATTGAATTTCACCACCATAGTCCACTAACACTTATTGGTGAATTAAAATATATTCCATATTTTTTCATTGACATAATCTAATGAGAAAAGTAAGAATATGTTCAAGTAAAATTGTGAGCAACACTAGTCTCTCTTCTTGCATACTTCTTGTTTGAAACGAAACTACTTTTAGAGAAATAAGAGATTACTTAAATTATATATGCAATTATATGCATTGAAACCCATCAATTAAAAATAAAAACATAACCAATCAAAATTCGAATATTCCCAATCTCCAACGAATGTGGTGTTTTAACTCGAAAAGATTTTATTTTACAAAAAAATTGGGATGACTTAAACTAAGGAATATGTGCAAAGATATGCCCCGAAATCCTTCCACAAAAGTATTATTACAAACAGACGCCAAAAGAAGAACGAGAAAATGCCATAATGATGAACCAATTTTGTAACTATTTGGTGTGAGGATTTTGTCTTTGAAAATGGGAAGCTTCAAGAATATGGAGGAATCACTAACCAAAACGGGGGAAACACCAAGTCACTCACTGGAAATTAAAATGCGTGGCTGATCCTGGGTCTCCATCTCTGATGTCGACGACGTGCGAAGAGCCCTAGGACTTACAGGATAAGGTTTGGTGATGAGGAAGATGGGAAGAGTTTTGATTTTATTTAATTAAAACAAAACTCATGCGATGGGCCTGCGAAAAAGGCTATTTTGAGTTTTCTCACTCCCATTCGTCCATTTATTGCAAAGTAGGCTTATCACCTCATTCATTAGGCTTGACACATAACTCACTCGAGGCTAAATTGCAAAGGGCCATTGCAACCGCTCTTAGGGATGTACAAACCTTGTGTTGGTTGTCTATATTTTATATATGGAATAAATCAGGCCAACCCTAGACCCGAGCTAGAGAGATGCCTGCCCAGACCAATATAATAAAGGGCCAATTATATATTTATGTTATATATATATAGAATTTATTTGATATATGTAAAATATTATGGGAAATAACAAAAAATCTCCATGTGTTTGCGAGATTTTCTGAAAACCCCTCAAATTTTAAAATTTCATTTTATCTACATGTGGTTTGAAAAATATTGCACACTCACCCGTCCCTACAAAATTGGACTGACAATGTTAATTATTTACATACCTTGACTATTATACATGTCAAATTGCTGAATCAGTGATATGATTCTACAGAAAACCACATAAAAAACCTAATTTACAAATCAAGAACATTGGCGTATCCATAAAATTCCTAAATCACGTATAAAGTCTAGTTATGAAATAAATAGATTTAAATTCAAATTAGAAATAAAAAAAAATTAATCGTAACTATTGAATTTTACCATAAATTTCCAAACATTGAAAAATAAAATCAAACACAAGGAGAAAGAGAAATCTCACAACCAACACTTAGCACGATACAAATTAAACAAAAAAAATGATTATAGAATACAAGAATGCATGACATGACTCCCCGAGCAGGGAGATGTTGTCGGAGTTGGTGGAGATCACAGAAAGCTTTTCCTTGACGACCTAGCGCATGACAGCCTTGGGCAAACCGAGTAGAATAAAAAAAAAGAAAATCGAACCGATCATCAACCGGTGCTACGAAAACTACTTCACCGGCTCCAACGATGTTGAAAATTGGACCTCTGCGGATTTCCATTACGCATTTTCCAGACAGTCGAGTAAATAATTAATTACTTTAATAATTAAATTGATGATTTCTTCAGCCTTGAGATAAAAATTGACAGCTAGATAAAGCTCGTTGTTAAAAAGGTTGGTGTCCTCCGTCAAGGTGACGACGATATCGTATAATTTTCCGGCTTTATATTAGAGTCGGAAGCAATTTTTTCCAAGTAACCATCGATCAAGTATTAAGGCTACATATCCGGCTCCAACATTCTCATCTTCACCTTCAATTTTACCATTAAGCTCGCTTCGATGTTCTCATTAATAGATCCTTATCCATAGACTGGAAAAAGCGACGACTCAGGAAAGAGGAAGAGGGTGAAGAAGATGAAAGTGTTTTATTAATACGAATAGGGTATTTTTGTAATTTCATTCATAATTATGTATAATTTAGTGATATCACTCTCAGTTAAGTGCGTGTTAACAATCTCCGTTAAGTGTTAACAAAAGTGGTATTTTTTGTAACATTTTCCAAACTACAAATAGGTAAAATAAAATTTTAGAACCAAGGAGAGTAGCAAATCTTGCAAACCACATGGGAATATGTTGTTATTTTTCCAATATTATGAGATAGTTTGGTGTTGTTAAGAAGCCGAATTGAGCCGAACATAATTTAAAAGCTTGTGTAGAAAAGATAATATAACAATCAACAACCAGGTAGATTGATGTAGACTGGAAATCAAGCCGAGTCGAGGATACCCTCTGCCCGCAAGACAAATTATGTCCCTTTAGTGCATTCGGTAATGACGTTTTGTCCCCAAAGGTAATGACGATGATAGAAGCTTTCCAGAAGGCTGTAAAGGCTTTCTGGAATATAGCCGGAAAATTTTCCGGGAATGCTATCGGAGAGAGAGGAGTATAGGAGATGAGTGAATGTTGTTGGTTGATGTATTTTGAGAAGGAATGGGGAGACCCTTTATATAGACGTCTCCACTGGACCACAATGGTATATGATTAATTACAACTATAATTACAGCATTAATTACTGATGTAATTGATGTTTTAATTTATGTTAATTTAAAATCTTCCATTTGAGAGAGTCGTATGTTATGCTAATTTCAAACATTCCATTTGGGATGATCGTAATTTATGTTAATTTCAAATCTTTTATTTGAGATTTTCGTAATTTATGCTAATTTAAAACCTTCCAATTGAGATTATAATTGATATATCCATTGGATAAATTTTTATTCGAGTAATCTAGCGACTTAGCCATACACCGGGGTTTAACTTTGGGCTTCACAATTTGATTTGTTTTAAGACAGACAAAAATAGCCAAATATTAATCAAGCCTCATATCCAATATATATAAATAAATATTTAATCCAAATTAATCATTGTAATTTTACTCATCGATTAATCAGTTTTGTAGATTTTGAATTTAAGTTTTAAAAATTAAATTTTATCGATTAAATAATTAATCGATTATCCAACAATCTCCCACATGAGTGGAAATACCCGTAAAATGACAGAGGCACAACTCAGTTCAAGAGAGACATTAACATATAAGGATATGTAGCTTGTAACTTTCAACATTCCATAGTCAACACTAAAGAGTGTACTGGTAGCCCAGTTGACATGTGCATTAAAATATTCTACCTTAGCGTACACTAAGTCAATAGTATTGACGTCTCGCTATCTCAATTTCATTTTTTTATCACATTTTGATATGTTTCAGCCATGGATCATCTCTTTGGATTCATAAGTATTTCTTTTAAAATGGCCCACACTTCACACTTATATAGGTAATCATATCTTAAAATATCCACCTCAAACGTATGGCTTGATCCTGGTCTTTTGACCGAGTACGTAAGCAACTCCTTTGAGTGCAGCAAAAAAAAAAACTCATACTTTTAGGATTATTAAGATTTTTTTACTCAAACCTCACCCTTTTTGCACTTCTTAACACTCGTTGCTTTTTCAAGGAATGGAGATCAGTGTTTATGCCCAACTTTTACAACTTAGTTTTTCCATTGAACCAAAACTTGGGATCTTCAAGAGATTTTTTTGAGTTACCACTGTAATTATCTTGAACTTGTTAATTTCAAGCTCATCCCCAAAAATATGTATATTTGTTCATTTTGTAACAATTTGATTAGCAGATCCGCTAGGTTTTCTATTGACTTTACATAGTCAATGGTCAAAACCCTACTTGTGATCAAATGTCTCACAATGTTATATCTACGCCGGATATGTCTGGGTTTACAATTGTAAATTCCAGTCTTTGCTCTTGCTATTGCAATTTGGCTATCATAGTGAATCATCACTAGAGGTACTAATTTGGTCAAATATGGAAAATACCATCTAAGAAGTTCCTAAGTAATTCAGCTTCTTCACCAGGTTGAGTCAAAGGGATGAACTGCAATTCGATAGTGGATTGTGCAATACACGTCTATTTTATAGATTTCCATGAAATAACTTCATCTCCGATAGTTAATACATATCCATTTGTAGACAACAAGATTCTTGTATCAGATATCCAATTAGCATCACAATATTCTTCAAGTACTAGAGGATATCTCGTATAGTATATGCCAAAGTCAAGAATAAATTTCAAATAACTCTAAGACTCTCATTAGAGTTTTCTAGTCTTCGTGATTATAATTGTTAGTGTACCAACTTAGCTTGTTTATAGGGCAAGCTAGATCAGGGCTTGTACAATTTATTAAGTACATAAGATTTTCAATTATTTTGGCATACTCTTCTTGAGATACAGGGTCTCCCCTATTCTTGCTCAAGTGCACATTGAGATCCATTGAAATCTTTGTCGGAGTGTTATCAAAGACATTAAAATTTCTTAGTACTTTTTCCACGTAATGGGATTAAAACAAAGCCATTTTCATGTCTTAGCATTCATTCTGAGAATAACATTGGCTACTCACATGTCATTTATGTCAAAATTTCAACTCAACATGCATTTGACCTTATTAATCAAGTTAACATCTTTAACCATGATTAGTAAATTATCTACATATAAATAGACTACTATAAATCCGGAAGTTATTTCTTTAATACACACATTTGTCACATTCATTGATTTTGAAACAATTTGATAATATACCATTATCAAATTTCAAATGTCATTGCAAAGATATTTGTTTTAGATCATAAATAAACTTTATCAGTTTACACACATTTTTTTTGGCCTTTAAAATAAAATATATCTGGTTGTTCCATATATACTTCTTATTCCGATTCACCATTTAAGAAGGTATTCGTCACATTCATTTGGTGAATCTCAAGATTGTTCAAAGATGCAATCGAGAGAAGCACTTAAATAGATATTATCCTCGTCACTGGTGAATAAGTATTGAAGAAATCAAATACGTTGTTTTGTATATAATCTTTCATTACTAAACGGGTTTTATATTTATCAATAGAGTCATTTACACCCTAAACGTTTACAACCTTCAGGTAGATCAAATGACCCAAGTGTTAGGACTAGACAATGCTTCCTTTATCGAATTTGGTTCATTACCCAACATGTACGTAACAAAATCCGGACCAAATTTTTTCTCGATCAAAACTATTAGTCATTCGCCTATTTCCACTTTGTAGTACTTCATCTACTGGTTTTGAGGTAAGTTGGAAGAAGAGAATGAAGAATAATGCAACTAAATTTGGGAGCATCAAACGGAATCAAGTATAGGGGAATACAAAGCTACTCCAACGGGCTCAAAAAAAGCAAAAGCTAACACCAGTATGAAGGGTATAGAAAACATCTTGTTCCCAAAAAGTTATCTTGGTTTTCCATTCCACCGCAAGAGGTGATTTGATGAGGCATTTCTTGAAGGAAAAAAATATATGTACAAAAATATTGGATTTTCTTAGAATTCTAATCCATCCAAACAATTTTTTTTAGGGAGGGGGGGAGGATCTGTGATACAAAGGTATTCTGCCAGATTTTGGAAAAATTACAAAGAAATTGAGGTGGTGGAAATGACAGTTAAACTGCCAAAAATGATTGTCAAGATGGTAGGTAAT